GATTGTCAAATATAATCCCACTTAAACTTTTTATAAAAGTCACAAACATATACTTATGTCAGTTATTTTACTTTTGGCTGGAGATTGATGTTATAGTAATAGATGAATAGATATTGATAAAAATAGAAAGTAAAAGGAGGGATGGAAGGGTAACCAGAGGAGAGAATATGGAAAAGAAAGGTGGGCTAAGTAAGGACAAATTAAAAGTTTAGTCAGGTAGGGGTCAGATTATGGGAAGGGTGGCAATAAGATTAGTGTTAATGAGCAGCACTGGCATAGTAACAGTTTTAAGCTGCAATGGTCACCAATGAGAGTATCACGTACCTGGTGGGGAGCCGAGTTGTGAGGAGGCCTCCTTTGCAGCACGAGTTCCACACCCCTGAATGTGGAGACAGGAGGTGGGGAAACTACGGGCAGCACCGGTGCCGGACGATGCAGGACACTGGGCCTGGGCAGGTCCTTGAGGCCCGTCTTCAGTGAGGCAGGAAGCAGGTGCTGATGCGGCTGGAGCAGAGCGGAGTCAGGCAAGCCAGGGTCAGCAACAATCGGGCGGCAAGGTACGAAAGGAGCAGGCAAAGGAGAATCCAGGGACAAGCAGAAGTCGGAGGCAGGCGGCAATCAGGCAAGGTCAAGGAATCCGGTCGATGATGATATGGCAACAGGCAAGATACAGAAACATACACTCAAGCTGAAAGACCACTCAGCAAAGATCCTGGGAGTTGGGCCAGCTTAAATAGGATCATTCCCAGACAGAGCAAGTCACTTCCTGTGCGCCATGTGCCGTTTGCGCATGCGCAGTAGCTACCGTTTGCGCATGCGCAGTAGCTGCTGTTTGCGCATTGCGCAGTAGCTGCCGCTTGCGCATGCGCAGTAGCCGCTGCTTCCCGCAAATGTGGTGAACAGGCCTAACTCTGCTGTTAGGCATGGTCTTACTGAGAGCTATAAATACAAGTCACATGACTGAAAATATCAATAATTAAACCAAATAAAAAATGTTATAGCTTAGTGAATTGAGTCTATAACCAGTTGTTTATTGAGTAAATATCACATATTTAAAAATGTAAAACACTTAAGGGTCTATTCACTAAGCTGCCGAGGGCAGCCGAGTGAACAACCGACCTCAAGTGAAGTGAGCCGAACACTGCTCGGCTATTCACTTGAGGCTCGTACGGCTGATTTCAGACATATATCGGCTGTAATCAGCCGTACATCGGCTTGCTTTGCATGGCTTCGGGTCGGCCGAACATGCTCAGCATGTTCGGCTGACCCTAAGTGCAGAAGGAGTTCAGCTCAGCCGATCCAACATCTGGATCGGCTGAGCCGAACCTCCGGCAGGCTACTCACTGCTGTTCGGCCTATTCTTATAGATGCTGAACAGCAGTGAGTGAATAGCCGAATGCCGCTGAGCGGAATTTGGCCTGGCTGTTCTGCTCGGTCCCTCAGAGGAGGGACAGATAGCTCCACCCAACAGTTTTCTATTGGCCGGCGCTCCGTGTCAGAATAAAGAAAAAAAAGAAACAGCAGTGTTTCTCTCCCTGGCGGCCGGGAGCAAGAGACTCACGAAGCGCCAGGTCAGAGTTAGCTGTTTGGAGATCAGTGTACCTGGTTAGCAGGTAACCAGGGACACTGATCTCTCTGCAAGTGGCCGGAGCCAGCCGTAAGATCACGGCTGGCTCCGCCCAGCTGTCAGAAGCAGGCTGTCACCCAGCCAATGGCCGGCCTCTCGGCCAGCTTCGGCTTTCAGCGCGGCTCAGCTGAGCCGATGCATATGCGTTCGGCTCGACTGAGCCGCTCGGCCACGTTCGGGAGCTGTATGGGCTATAGTGAATAGCCCATACAGCACCCCTTCGGTTCTACTGAACCGAAGTGGTCCTGGGGCCGAAGCTAGCCGAAGGATCGGCCGAAGCTACGGCTAGATCCTTCGGCAGCTTCGTGAATAGACCCCTTAGCATTAAAAAGCAATCCAAGCAACTGGCTAGCCAAAAATCACAAATGAGACCCACATTATTATATCCCCAGAAAATACAACTTCTGGGTTTTATGAAACCACTACAGCTGAAGCCAGCAACATTATGAGTATTCATAATTTATTTATTTAGTATGGAGTGTAAAGTCATTAACCAAAGAATATTCACTTTAAACAGAACGTTTGCATTAACAGCAGCAATGTTCAGTGAATAAAGTAAAAAAATTGCTAATTTGTTGTTTAAATACCCAATCATATCCAGGGGAATTATAAACACACGATTTTGGTCTTGCGCATGGTTCTCCTAAACCCAACCCGCAATATTCATCTAGCTTCATTTAGCTTCACTTTGCTCGCAAAGCTAAATAAACAATACTATGCTATGTAAATAATATGTACACTTTTAGTAACTCAACCATGTTGCGAAAAATCAGAGCACTTCCAAGACACTCTTAGAGTATATAAACCTAAAAACAAAAATGTAATATTTTGCACCTTGCAGTAAAAATGTAAAAAAAACAAATGTGTTGCCCCCCCGCCCCCCTCCCCCCCATATCCATATCAGAACCTAAGCCAAGATAGGGCTGGTATGAATTTTAAGGGGGGACCTCACACAAAAACATTAAATAAACATAGGGTTCCCCCTTCTCACTAGGATCCCCCTGTCACATCAGTCCCCTACCCTTTTCTGGATTAGCATCATTTCCATGGTGCTGGCAGTCCAAATTTATACCTACACGAGGGAATGCTCTCAACAGATTTTCCAGGTGTACTAGCTAGATCAACTTGGGGAAGACACAGCTCCATTCTCCCTTAAGGGGAATACTGGACCCAAAACACTACATGCTTCCAACTGTGGATTTCTTAGGATGGCATGCGCTAACCCCAGCACATTAAGCACAACACTGCTAAAAATGTTTTAAATACACCACTCAGTAAAAGTCATCTGTTCTGACTTTGCTCTGAGCATTGCTTGAATTAATAAGGATGTTTAGAGGTGCAGTAAAGACTATCCAATTTCCAGTTATCTATCTAATTATATGTTAGAAAATCCCCATTTAGCAATGTGCTTTATTTCTATGGAAAGGTGACAGAGTTTTTACTGTATGTGGTTGTATTTGGAAGTTCAAATAAGGATGACAGACAGATGCCTCACTCCCCATTATTTTATGACAAATACTTGACCATGGCTACTGTAGGACAGGATTTCTGTGCATATTGCTAACATCAGTATATTGAGTTAAGTGAGAATACTTGTGATCTCTATTAGCAAGAACCATACAAGGAAAGGATTAAAGATGTATAATGTGTCACTGGAATGTTGATTTTTTTTCCCTGAAGCAAATCTTAAACAGTCAGTCTGTTTTATTTTAAAAGCAGCTGCCCAGGAAAAAGTAAGGGCTTACAATCTGAAACCTAATACTCCAAAGTTTTACTGTTTCTGTTTGTAAATTGTAATTATAATCTGTAGCATTTACTTTCGTTCCTTAAAGATATGGTAAATATCTTTATTCACTTAGGGGTCTATTCACGAAGCAGCCGAAGGATCTAGCCGTAGCCTCGGCTGATCCTTCGGCTAGCATCGGCACCAGGACACCTTCGGTTCTGTAGAACCGAAGGGGTGCTGTACGGGCTATTCACTATAGCCCGTACAGCTCCCAAAGTCGGCTGGGCGGCTCAACCGAGCCGAACGCATATGCTTCAGCTCGACTGAGCCGAGGTGAAAGCCGAAGCTGGCCGAGCGGTTGGCCGGCCAACAGCATGCTTCTGCCAGCTGGGCGGAGCCAGTCGTGATGTTACGGCTGTAATGGAAATTCGGATTCGTTTGCATTCGTTATGTCTGTAATTCGGAATTCGGATACATCCGAATGTCCGAATTTCCGAAAATTCGTCCGAATTTCAATTCGGAACTAAACGAATCGCACATGTCTAGTTGTACTCAAGGATGTTCAAATTTATACCATAACCTCCAAAATCCGTAACTCCGTGCCAGGTGTTCTCTACTTTTCAGATGCAACAGGTTCCATGAGGACCACTATATCTGTATGGCTCTAATTCAATACCAAATTTTATCAGTGGCCCTGAGATCAAAAACTAAAACTACAGGTCCTAATACTGCCTGAGGGTAGGGGGGAGCACTGTTGCTACCACAAGGGGGAATAACAAAAAAACAGACAAGAGTGTTCTAGTTACAAAGAAAAGATACCCTTTAAAGGAATACGTAAACATTAAAAACAACACTGGCACAGTCAGACTATACACTGTATGTAAGATTGAAAACGTTGGTCACAAAGTGGAAAACAGAACATATTTGGATGTTGAATACTGACTGTAATTTGCATGTTTTTGCTTTAGCATCTGTATTTGTGTATTATACTTCTAGAAATAGCTGTGTCATGGTTGAAGTAATACACACTATAAGGCCTTGTTCACACCAAATGCAGAGCAGATCTGCTCAGGTTTCTGCACACGCAGTGCAGTGGGTTGTGCCGCGTTTTTGCCGCGTTCCGGGCCGTTTTGGTTAAAAAAATATATATATTTTTTTAGTTTAAAATGGGCTTTCAGTGCATTCCAGGCGTTTTTGATGCATTTGCATGCGTTCCAGAGCAAATCCAGAGCAGATAAAATAGGGCCTGCTGCAGTTTTTTTACCTGCTCTGGAACTGCACGATGCGATGTGAACTGGAGCAAAAAATACCATTGGAATAGATTGGACGCAGTTTTGATCCGGTCTGCAACTGCTCTGCTCTGTACCTGCTCCGCACTTGGTGTGAACAAGGCCTCAAACAAAACTAATCTGTTCAATATATTACTTTTGGATCACGGTGCCTCAATTTGCAAATGTTTTTTTCTACATTTTCACCTTAATAAGTTTGAACATGACAGGCATGTAACACCAACTTACAAAAGGGAGAATACAGATTTTATTTGCGTATTTACCCAAAGCATTATAAAATCAAAAAATATTTTGCAAATATTCTGTGTATAATATAAATTACGTTTTTTTTTTCTATTAACTGTTGAATCAAACATACCTGGATATGGAATATGAAACCAAGGTGAATTGATTATTGCATCAGTATTAATATCAGTCCGAGCAGCAAAGCCATAATTTACTGGGTCTCTTGGGAAAACGTTCCACAAGGTTAAAATATAACAAATCAGCCATGATAAGCACATACCCAATAATACCTAAAAAGGAGATCAAAAGCAAAGGTTTAATTCTTTCTTCTTTTAAGCTTCACAATTTAGGAATGATAAATACTAACATTTGCAACAAATCAGTATGGGACTGGTTCACTAAAAGAGTAAATTTTTCACTTAGATCAGTGAAGCTGCATTTACCTCTATTATACAGTCATGTGTAAGGACATTTTTAACTACTGACCACAAAATTAGATATGTGAACACATGTTCAGCTCACATGGTTAAATTAATAATGAACTCTTTTACCATATTCCATGTTTGAAGTCGGTGGGGTGATTATAGCCATTGCAGTAAGTGTTTTATGAAATTATATTCTTAATAGAAAGAGTTCAGATTTGTTACTATATTTTGGAAGGTATTGGCAAGCCTTTTGTTTATCTCACACAGTACCAGTACCAGCTTGCTCTAGAACAAGACATTGGGTGTATTTTCTTGTATGATGCAGATTTACAAATAAAATTCTATTTCAAATTTACAGTAGCTACACTTTCCATTGGACCATGATATACACACAGGATGTCATGTTTCACTGGAGGAATGAACCTAAAATGTGTTCATCTAGTAGTGCTAAAAATAAAAAAATGAAACTGTCACCTCTGATCCTAACACTTATATAGATGTATGGGATGAAAGTAGTATATGGAGGAAGTAGTGGGCATATAAGTGGGCATATAAAAAAAGGTAGTGGGCATATAAAAAAAAACCTTAAAAACTAAAATTAGAATCAGGTGATGCTGGTATTCAAAATCTGGCAAACTATTTATTAATTAACAATTTCACATTAAAATATTACCTATATTTTCCACATAAAAAGATCTGCTTAGTGGTGTTTTGGTGGTGGTGGTAATAACAAGCCATCATGGAAAAGGTCTGATGTTTCCTTTTAAATAACTCTCACTTTGTATATAAAAATATCTGCAGCCAACCTGAACGGTATTTTGAAGTAAATTATATTCTGACACAAACAATGACTAGTAAAAAAAAAGGTATACTAAAAAGCTATCCATTAGGAAACTCAAAGGACTGCCTTTTTTGTGACTCAAAAAACAAACCTGAAAAGCAGTCCTATAACTTTATATTTCAAAAGAAGTATCCTATACTTTATTAACAGAAAATGCAAACTAGTAATCCGGGAAGCTAAAATAGAATGCGAAAAGCATATCGCCGCAGATAGTAAAAAAAACCCTAAAAAATTCTACCAATATATTAACAGTAAAAAGGTAAGAAACGAGCAGATAGGGCCAATAAAGGACGAAAACGGGAAGTTACTCACAAGTAAGTATCCCTAAGAATGAGATGATGCGTGGACCTATATGGATTGGACTTGATGGACGTATGTCTTTATTGAACCCCAAATACTATGTAACTATGTAACTATGTCTTGTGATAAAATAATCTCAACCTTTTCACCGACCAACCTACTAACATTCTACTAAGAGGTAAGTAGAGATCTTGATGGAGGGAGTCCGGTGGATGTAGTATATCTAGATTTTCCAAAAGCATTTGACACAGTACCACATAAAAGCTTACTACACAAGCTGAGGTCTATGGGCATAGATGAAATGGTGAGTAAATGAATAGAGAACTGGCTACTGGAACGTGTCCAGAGAGTATCGATAAATGGCTCATTTTCAGATTGGGCTAGGGTCGTGAGTGGTTTGCCCCAAGGTTCTGTGCTAGGCCCCATACTATTCAACCTGTTTATTAACGATATCGGGGAGGGAGTGAATAGCAAAGTTTCCGTATTTGCTGATGATATTAAACTTGTGATATCTATTTGGCAGATGAGGAGGTGTATGTTTAATAAACCGTGATAAAACTAGCTTTATCACGAGTTAACTTTACTCAGCAGATCACTTTGTTTTACTCCGCTGCACAGAGGCTGTTTAATAACCTGCAAAAAAAAACTTATCACAAGAAACAGCTGTGAAAGGCTGAGATAAGTCGTCACAGTGATCAGTAGAGAAAGTTATTTCTCTGTTAAAATGATGAAAATTGCTAAAAAGCAGGATTTACATGTTCCGATTTGTTCAGCATGTACCAGTACAAAACTACCAGAGGCGGCCGCAATGCGAGGCAGTGATGGGGTTAAACATTCTAAAGGGGCACTCTGATGGAGCCAAGCAAATGTAAGTGGGCACTCTGACACATGCTGGAAATTAGAATGTTTGGCGTCCCTGGAAAAAGCCTGCTGTCGTGAGATAGGTGCATAAGCACTGTGTGTGTGCAAACACACTAGCAGCAGGTATTAATGCATTATAAACGGCGGACCAGGGTGGCGAAATGGCCTTACAGACTGTTATGTGTGGAATGCAATGTTCACTGCATCTGCCTGTAAAACATGTTCCCCAGACATCCTTCAAGCTTAAGACATCCTTCAAGTTTGAAGGCTCAGTCTCTGAGGGAGACTGAGCCTTCAACAACAAGCCCTAAGGTCACATGACCTTACTGAACTTTACCTCACACTACACAGATACAGTGAGGGGATTTGAAACTGCCACTGTCACTCTCGTGAGGGAAGGGTGGCATTAAGACAGACTTCCCTCATTTTCCCTCTCAATCAGCATTCAGCCTACCTGGGCAGCCAACCATTGCTACTGGCAGAAATGTCCCAAAATGTCAGAAATCCTTAAGAGAAGGGGCATCTGTGCTTTATTTTAACTGTTCCTTAAGGTTCCTAAAGGAACTAGGTTTATGACAAGTTCCTCTATCTTTGCTCAGTGCTTCACGAGAAAAAGGCCTTTAGCACCAGGTCTGACAGGGAGCTAAATCAAGGGTACTTTTCACAATACTTATCCAGTGATAAAGCTGTTCTCTACTTTTCTCCCTGCATTAAACAGGTACATTCCCATTACTTTCTGTGTACTTATCACCAGGATGAGAAGAGGTGAGATATTTCAGTTCCTACCTGACTTATCACGGGTTATTAAACACCATTTTCACCACTTTGCTAAGGTGAGAAAAGCCTTCTCACTGCTTATCACACTCTTTCACAGTGTATTAAACGTACACCTTAATCTTGATAAATGTAAAGTAATGCACTTTGGGGTTAAAAATAGGCAAGTGGAATACACATTAATGGGAACTCCACTAGAGAAGTCAGAAATGGAAAAGGATCTAGGGGTCATTGCAGACCACAGATTGAATAATAGCTTGCAATGCCAGGCTGCTGCAAGCAATTGAACAGAGTGCTGTCTTGTATTAAAAAAGGAATGTACTGTAGAAACAAAGCAATAATTGTGCCACTTCACAGATCGCTGGTTCGGCCTCATCTGGAAAGAGTCCAGAGAAGGGCAACTAAACTAATTAAGGGGATTGAGGACCAAAGCTATGAGAGAAGGTTACTCAATTTAAACATGTTCACGGGGGGGCGTGGCCAGCGCTTGGGACGGATGGCTGCTTGA